TTCTTTTGTAGGGCTAAATGTTTTATTCATTTCATTTTTGATCATTTTATGGTGTTGCTTAGTATTGTTCATCGGTGAACTATTACCGACGATTTGCGGCGGTCGCTTTATGGGAAAGAAAATGTGTAAACAGCTTTGGCGCTTACGTAACGGTCTGGCTTTTAAAAAAATATTTTCTATCCTCCCGATGATGATTTAAGTCAACTCTTTTTGTGACCATAAAAAAGGCGTAACCAAACGATATGTAGGGGCAGTGAAGGCACAGTTCTCAACTGTAATTATCGATATTAAACTTAAAGGGTACAAAGCTATCATGACAAAGTCAGCGGCCTTTTTACTGAATATTTTTAGCCTTAAAGTCTGCACAGCTTTAAATTTTTTACCTTAAATGAGCTTCAAACCTGCAACCAAAATAAAACTGAAAAAATCGAACACTTAAAACGGGAGTTAAGGTCTCGAAAAGTACGGTACATTTAAACGAGTTCTCTGAAGCTGGCTGAATTTTCGTGTCCTTGCCATTGTGTGGAGTTTAAATTAACTGCAGCGGTGAAGCCGTGGTAAAGGTGGAAAAACAAATGGTGTTCCAAAGCGATATGATTAATTTAAAAGATAGGATTACTGTTTCCAAGTTGGGGGACTCTTGATCGTTTAGTCCTCAGTTACAAGGTAAGACATAAAAACAAGCGTCCGCCGAAATAATCGACGGAGGGGGAAAAGACATTCTGGCATATTCAGGAAATATTACTGTCTAAACAGTAGACACTTAATTGCGTTGTATCAGGATAACTTAAAATGGAAAGAAGCTTAGTTAAGTAAGTATTAGATGTTTACTGCCGAAAAAACAGGTGTCAATGTTTCAACCTTGCAGGTGCTAAGGTAAAAGTTGTAGACGGGCCAGACTTTTAAAAGTTTTCTTGTCTTCAGAACTGTAAACAGACTGTTATGTTAAGTTAGCAGATTAACGCTGAATACGATTGCAAGGAACTGAAAGTTGGAAAGGCAGAAAATTTGACAGGACAATTATACATGTTAGTTCAAAGTTTTTAAAAGACTTTGAACGTCATTTTGCCTTACTAGAATTTTGCTGACATAAACTTAATGAGTTTCCACCAAATTGCCTTGTTTACTATTTGACGAAGAAAAGGCAAAACTTGAAAGGAAAATATTACTTTTATTAATTTTTAATTACGCTGAGTTCAGCCGTTCAATTTTAATTTCCCGCGTTAGTTGGTTTTCCGGCGCCAAGAAGTCATTAAAATGGAGTGAAAGTTCCTTAGTAGAAATAATAACTTATTAAAAATTGTCAGTGTAGCGAAACAAATGGACATTTAGCATTGTTTATAGAAATGGCATAAATCATTCTTAAAATCTTTCGCAGTGATCAGGAAGAATTTTTTCCCCGAAAAGCGAAAACTGTGCGAAAAGAAAACCTGTTTGAAAGTCATATGACTCCGAGGGTTCTCAATTTCCATTGTGAATAAAAATAATTTTAATCAGCTTGCAGCCGATTTTTGAAAAGGCAAATGAAAAAGTCACATGCTGTGAATTTCAGACGCGTACGTTTAGTTAAAAGTTTTAGCCAAAAGAAAGTGACTAATTAAAATAAACCCGAAGTAGTAAAGCAGTTTTTAACAAGTTAACTGCATTACGATATGAAATACAATGAATTCAAACTTTCCTTTTACATTTTTTTTTCTTTATACCTCGCTTATCAAGCTGTAGGACGTTTAAATTGACAAACTAAAGGTCGAAATATGTGAAAGCTGCAATGTTAAGCCATCTTTGGGGTTGATTGGTCAGGATTAACATGCTTGCTAGCCGAGTGGGCCCTAGGGTGGATAACCATGGGTTTAATATTGGAACGTACAGTTCTACTCCGTTGACTAGAAGACATTTTTTAATCCTAACGTTTTACAAACCCTAAGTAACCGATTACAGCTTTTCAATGATTTAATGTAGTTTGGCTGGTTAACCGACTGCTTTTATAAAGCTTGCAGGAGTATGACCAATTATCACATCTCCTTCTGTCTTGAAAGACAATGGACTGAGACGGATATCTTAGATCGTTGTATTACTACTCTGACTATAAAGTCCATGTCTCAGGCGCTTCCTGAAAAGTGGATTAGCGATCATTTCAGTTGGGTTTTCATAACTGCACCTTAGAGTAAGGGCCTAGAAATAAGCGCCGCGCTTTAAAGACTCTGATTCACACTGGGAGTTAACCCTGGGCTTGAGTTCCACCATTTTTCGAGATACCGGGCCCAATACTCGAGTGGAAGTCCGCTTTCGGTCTCAATTGCAGCATATGTACGCTGTTGGTACTGAGCATGCCTCAATTCCTCGCACCCTCCAGCTGTTCTCTCCTTCACACAGCCTTCTAGCTTGACACCTGTCCTGACCACACAACACCGAACCTCGTCCTCAGGCGTTTTCCTCCCCATTTTCTATAGGGAAAAGCCTGGGGACGAGGTTAAACAACGCTAACACCTGGGAAAAGCTGCAGCTATTTCCCATGTCGGGGTGTCTCTCGGAGGACTTAATGACTTAACACGATTTTTTATCTCACAAAAATGCCAATTATTAATATAATGCTTTCTAAAATAATACTGTATTTTAATTTTTCTTTAGTTTTAAAAAGAGCAAGTTACACTGTAAAGCTCTTTTGAAAGCCTACTATAAGACCTAAGAATCGAACGCACGATAATTTACAATATCACAAACCTGTTGTTCGAAGCTGGACCCACCAGTAAATCAAATACGTTATCCACTGGATAAGAGCAAAAACGTTTTTTAGCGATGTACGTGAAGCCGGAAGTGTTGGGCAAAACCACTGACTTCCCAAGAATGCCCACTTCCGGTCAACGTGCATCGCTCAAAAACGTCTTTGCGTCTAGTGAACGATGCTATCTACCCTTATAACAATTTTTATCGACGCATGGTAAACATGAATATTCGCTATGTCTTTATTGTATAGTGATATAGGGGGTGGCATAGGACCTAATTGGCAAGAGCTATAAGAGGGTCAGGTGCGCGCTTGTCAGTCACGTGGCAATTAAATATGGTGGTTAACCCAACATGTTTGTCCCGATAAAGGATTTTACAAATCGATCATTAACTAAAAGGGTTTTGTTTGGTATTAAAACTGTCTAAACACTCTTAAGTCTGCATGCACGTATCCTATATCTTATGGCCGGCCTCCTGCTATCTTTGTTTGCGGTTTTGATATGATGGTGTTGCCGACCCTATATTGTGTTACTTTATCCCACGTTGTACATTATCTTAAAATATATTTATCCTGCTATTGACAAATTGTTTTTAAGTTGAATCAGATAGTGTTAAAATACACGCGACGTTCGCTCCGCACACCTCTTAATTGAAGAAACATTGCACAAAATAATTTTAAACTGAACGCATGTGTTTTCTTTGTCAGAAAAGGAACTACAATAACATGCTCTGGGGTTTAATTTTCTGCATAATTGTGGGTCCACTATTGCAATTGATCTTTGCCTCAATATGACCGTAAAAACAATCGTGCACACATAGGAAACGTCCTCCGATTATCAGTTAATATTGTGTAAGTTGGGGTGTTTGGGTAATGATTGGTCAAACATTATCTACTTCTATAACATTTATCTTGTATTGAAACCAAAGTTGTAGATGAAATGTTGTAACTCGAGTTTCACGCATTTGGTTATAATCAGAATGAATCTGTCTTGTATTCAGTCTATAGTAAATCAACATGGGGAACAGAAAATGTTTTCTCCGCAAAAGCTTAGACTAAGTATATTGGTTTCGTTTCACACCGGAAAAAGAGGTGTGTTCATTATTTCCTCCGACAATGGTAACGTCCACAAAATTATCGTATCAATAACTGAAGTTAATAGTGTGTAGGATTAAGTGACTTAAGTTAACTGTTTTTGTAATAGATCTCTTCTTTCCTTCAACTCAGTAAACATATGAACTTTAAAAGTAAGTAAAGTCAGGCCCACTCGGAATGCATTAGTTACGTATATTAGAAATAAGCGTTTGGCTAAGACAAAAGATGTAAATTACTCAAACCATAAACACGATAATAGTTCAATTTACAAGGCAGGACTTGTATTCAAGATATTAAACAAAGCAAAACTTTAGTTTCAACTATCCAGTGAGACTTTTTCCTATGCCAGTTTTAGGGTCATTTAAAGACTGTAAAGGCATTTAAGTTGATATAGTGAAATGACGAAAGTGAAGAATCTGAATTCGAATCGAAAGACTGAATTGAACAGAAAGCTATTGACATGCAACCAAAGTTATCTGAGGCAGAGTTATTTTTAAATAACTCTGCCTCAGTTAAACTTAAAAGTTTAACTAAATATGCCATGAATTTCGCTGTACCTCTTCCTACTAGCTATCAGTTAAGAGGAGGGAACAGAAATGCAATGGAACTTGACAGAATAAGATTCGTCTCAGGATATGACTTCGTGTTTAAGCAAACGATCATCCACGTGCCAACGTACATCTTAATACTTCGAAATATATAACTTGCCGGAGCCACATGTCTCAGGGAAAGAGTTTGGTCCCCGATTTCAATTTAGATAAACTCAATGGTGTGCTGAATGAGTGAGATTATTGTACGCGTTTTCCTTTTGAATTGTAAATCGTCAATTTCACTACTTCCTTTCTACAGACTTTGGCATATCATTAACAGTTATTGGACGAGGTGGAACAAAATATCGTGATTTGTCAGTGGTGAGCAGATCAATTATTTGCCGAAGCAAATAATTGATCTGCGAGAAATAGACAAATAATGATATTTTACGACAACGTTAACCGAGTTCAATAATTGTTTTATCATTCGATCACCAAGTCGGATTTCAATGAATGTCTTCGGGAAGCGAAGCGATCTGCCATGCATTTTCCATGCAATAGCGATCTCAAGAAGGAGAAAAACGTGGTTTGGTTTACGCATGAGCAGAATATTATTTGCAGCCAAACACAGTTGGACGACATTGCGAATGAGCAGACCATTATTTGTAGACAGTTATTTTCAGGACAAGTGGTGGGCTTTCGGCCAATGAAAAGGAAAAAATTTGCATCGAATGACAACAATGTTTATTTCCCTTACCTCTTCAGTTGTTCGAACACTGGTTAGCGCGCCCTATCCAGTGGATATATGACTATCTAGTAGATAAGTATTACAGAAACCAGTTGCGTTATCCACTGAATAGTATAGTGATTTACCTGTCGGATAGCACTATCCACCTTATGAGCAACTGAGGCCAGGGCTTTACATGTAAATTATGGCTGACTTCATGCTTTGATTCATTACGTTTGTTGGTCCAAATATATGAAACAGAAATTTAAACAAATCAATATGCAACTAGAGCGGCCGGGAAACAACAAAGATATCAATACCAGCAAGTTGTTCCACTTCACATCATGTTACGTTCTCGAGTGACATTTTTGTGTTCGTCTTTTTATGAAATATACACCCAAATTACGTGCATGATGGAGGAATTTAAAAGAAATAGTGTTCTAGAGAAACATCGTATTGTTTGTAATCTGTAAACCAACAAAGCCAAAGAGGTATACGGAAATCTAGTCGTTAGTTTCATATGTTGCGCACTTTCCGAAAATTGCATTTAGATAGTGTAGTCAATCGTCACAAGTGAGATCAGATCTCCGTGTTGAGGGTGTGAATCGTACCTTTAAACCAAAGTTGTCGCTTTAGCTACAGTCTGTCTATTTCCCATCAACTGCATGTTCATTTGAAGGGCAATAGTGATCAGATATGCTTTGAACTAGGATACCATTGTTTTATATACTCGCCGATGAACAATTTTTTCCTATAGTCACCTCAGTTGTACCATATAATTATTCTCGCCTATTTAGGTGAAAGGCACTTGGGGGTGACAAAAAACTGGTTTGAAACCTGTTTGGCAAATGTTATAAGGCATGGCGCACGTACCAGGGTGACAATGTTGATTGCAGTGATGAAGTCCCGGATGAGGGGGACCACCATACAAGTTTCCAGGCGAGTGCGCGCTGAATTCCATCTCAGCGGCGATTTTTCTCTTCCATTTAGTGCGGCGATTTTGAAACCAAATTTTGATTTGTGTTTCAGTTAGCTTGAGAGATTTTGAAAGTTCTGTTCGACGCGAAATTGTCAAGTATTTGCTTCTTCGAAATTCTCCCTCAAGTTCCTTCACTTGAGCTGCGGTGAATGCAGTTCGTTTTCTTTTCTTCGTTGGATCACGGCCTCTTCTTCGCTCGCGCGCACTGCTCTCGTGTTGCAATACTGAAACAAAGAATCGAAACAAGTTTACCTGTTAATAGGTCAGCAAGTACTATCCTTAATGGACTCAAAATTACAAAAACCATGACGGATAGCTACTGGTCATCAACAAAAGCTAAAATAAAACTGAATGCAGAGCTGGCACTACGGCAAAGGGCTGATTTATGATAGGCCAATATTTCCTTCCTAGCCTTCCTCAGGACCAGAGCTATACCGAGAGAAAATATCTTTTATAGGCTCCTTAAATTTAAATTTAATTTTGTTAGGCGAAATATTGGCTTATAATAAATCAGCCCTTTGCCGTAGTGCCAGCCCTACATTCAGGTTTGTTTTATTAGAGATCCGACAAAAGGAACCAGTCAGTTATATTTACGTGTTGCGTGGACCTCTGCATTCAAAGAGTTTTTCCTACTGGTCATCAGTTATTTGCTCAGTGCCATTCTTTTGGGCCCAGTTTCAAGATGTGGCATCTGGGGCCCGTTTCTCGAAAGTCCTGATAATTATCAGGCCGGGAAGCTTAGCATCGAGGTTTCAGTAGTTTGCACTAGCATGATAACACTAACAGTTAACAAAACAAAAATGGACTGGTTTGTCAGCTAGGACCCCCCCTTTTATTCAGATTTTTTATTTCAATAGCTATTTGATTTCAGGCCCGAAAAGTTAAAGGGACTTTCGAGAAACGGGCCTCTTGATGTCAACCTTTAAAGTGACTTTTTAAATGAAATCTTTTTTTAGCACTATGCTATTTTATTGAACAGAACTGAAACATAGTCTTCTTTAAGGGCCACGGTAACCGACACTAGGTATCTTAGACAACAAAAAACTCTATCTAGCTCACTTCAATGATCGGCTTAACTTTTAATACTACAATTATGTTAAATTAATGCAAGTTCAAACACCTTAAAAGCGCTCGTTAAAATAAGTTGAACTTACGTTGTAGCTATAGCTTGGTAAGATGTTATGTCCTGATCGGATGGACAAACAATTAATACCAATCTAAGAAAACCTGACATTCCCAGTTTAAGAATAACTAACCTCCAAAACAAAGTTTTCTAACCTGAAATCAGGTTTTCATTTTTCTGCTTTCATTCTTGTATATTATTGTGTTGCTTTCTTGTCACTCATTTCGGACGAAATTTGATCGAACAGATAACTATATTAAAATAGAGGCGGTTACTTTCTTCATTTTATGGCTCAAGAAAACCGTTATCAATAAAGACAACGAAAAAAATATATTAAAACACTTTCTTTACAATCTCGTTTTTAAGGGGCTTTTCATGTTTTAGACATCTTAAAATGCTTCAGTCAGATACTAGTTATGGTTCAGATTCAAATCCTTAAAGTCAGTTATAACTCCTGTACATGCAAATAAAGCATTTACCGAAATCTACTTGCGCGCTTGATGCCATTGCGAAATTAGCTCAAACTCATGTACAAAATCACAATTAACCAACTAAATATTATGTTTGACCTCAAGCAATTGCCCTGTACTAGTGAGTGCCCACCGGCAGTCACTGATTAAGACTCGGCCTTCCCTACCTTTACTTTTCCTTATCAAAAACTCTAAGTTACCTTAACTTTCAGATATTATGTAGAAAGGGTAAGAAATTAAGCAGTTTATTTTCTAACCCAATACTCCCTTGGATAGCTAATATTGCTTATTTTTCCGGAAACTTTATTTTCTGCGTCAATTTCCCCTTTCGATCTGAACTATCACTTTTCCATTAATTGATTATTCATTAACTCAGGTGATAAGATATACTTCTTTTTTCCGACTTCTCCACCAATGTGGTACCCGCCGAGTTTCTTTAGAGACTAATTTCGTTTTACTTTTATTTTCCGGTCTTGGCTTATAGTTTCAGTTTATTTTCTCTTGAACAACATGATCAAAAACGATGCGTGAAATTTTTAACGAAAATCATCGATAAGGCTTGTGATCTCCTTGAAAATTCATTTGACATCAACTGATACTTACAGTGGATGCACAGATGATTAGATTACTCCCTAAATTTTGCCTTCTTGAGTCAGTCTTGTTTTAATTTGTTAGTTAGAAGTTCTCACTATATTATTATAATAATAATCAGGTTGTCATTCTTAGTCAGTGAAGTCAAGTGATTCATTAAATACATTAAATATACTTACCCGTCGTTTTCCGAGATCTGTCAAACGGGGGACAACTATAAGGCTGACATGAAGACCACGCGGAACCCAAAGGGTGATGATGAAACTGCTGAGGTGGATAAGTTGTGTGTGCACTGTGTTGCAGGTAGTCAGGTGTGCCTTGATGTTGGTACTCAAAAGGAAAGCTAGACCTCTGTTCTTCTTTCCTGTCGCTTAAAATGTTATCAATAGAGAAGCTAGATGAAGCGTTATACCTTGGTCGCTGGTCCATGATCAGCACTAGCTGAAGCCACCTTCAAGAGTCTTCAACCGTTTGTTTGTTTCATACGAGCAGAGTCAATATAACTATGTAAAGACGAAACTGACCTCCAGGAAATGTGTTAAATACTGATCGATATCACTCTGTAGAAACTTTTATTAGCATAAAGCGCATTTCATTGGTTAATTGATTAATTAAACTCAACCACTGGCAAGTGTTTTGTCAAGGAAATTATTAAAAAAGACGAAACCTAAATGATGATTTTCTTTCAAAAGTCTAAAGAAAGCTAAGATGTATCTTGCAAACATTCGGAGTTTGTTGGTCGCATATAGGATAAACATTTAGCATTTCTCTTAACAGTCACTTACTATGTTTAGCAGTGGACAATGAAATTCACGCCGATAGTTATTATAAAACAATTAGGCGGCATCATTATTCGTCTATTAGCACACTGAATTATCCGTTTACTCTTAATGGTGATAAGGCTCCGATGATTTAACCTAAACAATTTAAACTTTTATGACGATATTTTGTAGCTGTTTGCAATTTTGACGCTCAAATAAAAAATTCAATTCCTTTTTGTCTCCTTTCTTCTTTCATTGTACCGGGATGTCGTTCATATCGGCTTGTTCAAAAGTTGCCCCATTTAATAACCGCTCAGTGGGATATCGAGTGTTATTTCCCTAGCTGCAGCATGCACAGTTGTTCTTTTCTCTAATAATAGACAGCAATAAAGCGTGTTTAAAAAGAGCTATTGTTTTTCTACGTTTAATTAACGTTTCTAACTATGATGAGTATAAAAGATCGCTTGAGTTTCGCGGTTTTACTTTAATAAGAGATATATGCATATTATATTCGCTATGTAAACACTATGGAATAGACCACAAAAACACTAAGGGACGTTGGAAAAAAAGCCATTATGTCCTATTCACAAGTTTACCATGCAGTGGAACAACTCTATTAATTGAACTTACGAAGTTATTAAACTTTTGTTTTAAGACAAAATTGGCCATAATAAATAGTTCTAATATTTGTCTTCGCGAAACGCTTCAGGGTCCGTATGTCGGCAGTTCAAAGAAACTCGAAAGGTACATTCCATGGTTCGAAAGTTTGAACGATTTGACGTGCATCAGTGACAAACTGCCTTAATATAGGAGGGAAATAAAACCATATTTTTGTCAGTAAAGTTAAAATGTAAAATGTCATAGTAGATTTGACTTGAAGTTTAGGCAATCTGATGCTTGAGTAAAATGCTTTCAAAACATCGAACAGACATGATGTCGTTTTCACGTCATTGTTTAAAGTTCGTGAGGAATCATATTTCATTTCCGGCTGACAGGTAGCATGTCCAATCAGAGCGGAGAATAAAGTGTCATTTGTATTTAGTCAGAAATTGAACTGTTGCTAAATGTGTCCGTCCTTAGGCGAAATTCCGGCGAAATTACGCCAAAATTCTCTAAAACTCTTAAGTTCTACAAGTTATCGTCTGAATTCTTCACTTGCAGTTATCAGTTCAGACGAGACACTGAGAAAATGGTTCAGAACGTTCACCCTAGTCACCAATTGCAAGTGCCGAAAGCAAAAACCAATCAGTGTCAAAACGTATAAAGTAGGAATCTGCATAAAAGCAGTAATCGGCTCCTGATAAAAGACATAAAACGTTGCCCAAAAAACGCCATTTACATGTAGAACTCCAGCGACGGCTTTGGTATTATCTGATAAGCAAAGAAATTGAACAGCTTAAGAAGAAATTTTAAGAACAAAAATTCTTAATTTTTTTAAATTATGGTTTATTTCACGTCATTTTTCATTTACCATTACATGCAGGGCATACTCCAATTTTTCCTTCCCATTACCCCCTGCGCGCGTAAGTTAAAAGTACTACTGGGAAGACTGGGAATGGTCGAGGAGTCTGGGTACGGGATTGCGAAAGTTGGGAATTATTGGGCAAGATCATTGAACGAAACAGGGAAGGATTATGGCTCTAATAGAAAAACTCCTCGAACTTCTCCTTCATTTTAGAAGGACCTATCCCAAAGCTTTCTTCCTGTCAGGTTTCCTTTTCTTTACCATGTTTTTTATAGTCCCAAGAATTCGCCGAAAGCTAAAGAAGCGTGGTTCGAACCCTTTGGCGTTCGACTGCCGCCGATCTGTGCAACCTCTGGTTCTCGATCAAGGAGAGCGAGATAAAGTTATCAAGCAAGGATTTGTTGCTCGTAAAGTTCCTGAGAACCTTGATGCCATCGTAATCGGTAGCGGGATTGGAGGTCTATCTGCTGCAGCGCTTTTGGCTAAATCGGGGAAGAAAGTTTTAGTTTTGGAACAACACGATCAAGCTGGAGGCTGTTGCCATTCCTTTGTTGACAAAGGTAAAAAAGGACAATCAAGGGATTCAATTTAGAGATTTTTAATCAGGCATTTTTATTAAAGAGTAAGATCATACACTGCACATTTATCGAGCATAGAAGCACAGGTAGCCCAAGCTTGGGGACACCCAGCGACTGTTTTCTGTAAAATATCTGTTCGGAGAAGCAAAGATTGCCTAGAATTTTCTTTTACTTGAGGACGGCTAAAAATTTCTAGATGACCATTCCATTCACGTACAGATTTCTAGGCTTATCTTATCCCTACGATTTTCTGAAGTTTAATTTTTCACATTTCACACCTCAGGTTGGGCTTTTTTTTGTAGAAAAAGGCAAACCTAAACTTTTCGGATTCAAAAATGTGATGGAAAGAGGAATCAGAAAAATTCTCACGTTCGTTATACGTTAAGTTACATCTAAAATGTTCGGGAAAATAATACTGAAGCCCTTATAATTTCGAAAAGATCCAAGTTGCCCTTGATTGACCGAACAGATACAAATTTTGTAGCGCTGCTTAGAATGCATTTCTAGAGGTCTAAATGTACTCTGGATAGCCTAAAAAGACTTTTCAGTGAATTTTGGAGGAAATCGTCGTTGGGTATCCCTGCAAGCTCACTATGAGCACAGGCAGCCCAAGTGCACTATGTGTGGGTTCGGGCTTCAGAGGTCATTTGGTCTGAATATACTAGAATTATTAGTGTATTATCTGATGCTAAATAAACACAAAAATCTTAAAGATATGAAGTCTTCTTGTTTGTCTATCTGTACTAGTAACCTTTAAGATAATGAAGGTCGATATTTCTTGCATTATTACATGTGATTCGGGCCCTTAATGTTCGAATTTTATCACATGTATTCAAATCTACAACGCTACGCAAAAAAAATCATGATCACGCGAAATATTGATTCAAAAAGCTCCCTTACCTTTAGTTCATAGCCACTCTGTGTCCTACGGCCGGTTTAAACGCCCTTTAGTCGACTTTCTTTCCATCGAGTACTGAACACTATACTTGATGGAAAAAAAGTCGACTAAACTGCGTTTAAACCAGCCGTAGGACACAGAGTGGCTATGAACTAAAGGTAAGGGAGCTTTTTGAATCAATATTTCGCGTGATCATGATCACGTTTTCGAGACCAGGTTTTCGACCAGGTTTTCTACGTTTGGTTTCGGTCTACGAAGAAGTTATGGCAAAAAACAAAGACACAAATCATTACGAATGCGACCAACCAGTTTCTGGAAATTTTATAAATTGCGGGGCTCTTTTGGCAATATCCTTACAAAAATCTGCTTTTAAAAGCATTGCCGTGCATCTTCCAATACCAAATTGCAGGCCCGTTGATCTGTATGTGTGTCCAGTCACCAATCGCCACAACGCCACAGCCACTCGCTTTTTTACCGGTATACATTCGCGTGATCTAGTGTCCTCCTTTGCCAAATCCGGACCAACCAATCGGACAATGTACTCGAACGTACGTCTTGATA